AAGTGTCATAGGCTTGCAATCTTGGGAGCAATAGGGACTATCTTTCCACACTGAATTGGAATTCAAAATCCTGGATGGGCAGCTTGAGGATTGTAGCAGAACTTCAGCAGTGATAAATAATAAGTCATGAGATGAGGTGCGAAGCTAGTTTTGGACAGTACCCCTTAAAGGATATATCAGGGAAGGTATATCCTTCAAATAAAATTCAGACGATGAAGATTTTAGTGTAATTTTGAAGAATATAACTCATATTAGTAGTCCCCCCATCATGTGGGAATAGGGTCATAGAACATGCTAGTACAAGTTTTTAAGCTTTTAAAGGCAAATTCCCTAGACAGATTAAATAGATAGATGATAGATAGATAGATAGATAGATAGATAGATAGATAGATAGATAGATAGATAGAAGAGATAGGTGGATAGATGGATGGATGGATGGATGGATGGATGGATGGATGGATGGATGGATGGATGGATGGATGGATGGATGGAGGGATGGTTCCAGAAAGCATAGGCATTTTCTGCAGATTTGAAACAGTAATAATCTTACTATGAGATTTAAATATTTAACAACTTGCTTAAAGTGAGATAAATGAATAAAGACACTTCAAATGGTTGATACAAACACAAAAATCCATGTAAATACAGATTGCATTACTTAAATATTTTATTATTATATGCATGTGTTTTATATTTATATCAAGATGGTTGAATAGAAAGATGATAGATAGATAGATAGATAGATAGATGATAGATAGATGATAGAAGACAGATAGATGTGATATACAATTTTTAAATTTTTAATTTTATAAAAATTTTAAACCAATCCTTACAGAAATAATTTTTCATATCCTTGAAGAATTACACTCAGAACTAACAGCTGGGTCTCAAGAGGGACATTGACAAACTTGGGATGGTTTCCAGACCCTTTGCATACATCCCAGTTCTTCAGTGTCCTATGAGGTCTGGCTAAAAGAATGAGACCTATAAAGTTAAAGCCAGGAAGCATAAGAAAAAACTGGATCCCTCTTCTGTTGGAACTTTTTTCCAGACTATAAGAAGCTGTCTTGCCCGACTCCTTAACTCCACTCCTTCTTAACTCGCCACCTTGAATTATCTCTAAAGTAGGTTAATAATCATCAAAGGAAAAGACTTTGGTATCTCAAGGGGTCTTTCCTTTTGTAAGGAAGCACTGTTTTTCATCTAACAAAAGGGGGAAGCTAGGAAAGGGAAGGGAAAGAACAAGATGGCAAGGACAATCGACTCAGGTAGTAGTTCCGGCATCTAGTCCCCTACATCTTTGGCTCAGTATCCCCTGCTGTCATCTGTCACTCTAAATCCCCTTCTGCGGTGCCTCACTCAGTCTGCCTCACAAGCGTTCCATTCTCCAAAGTCATTATTTCTCCAATCTGAATATCAGAGATCAATAGCTAAAACAGAGATGCTAACCCACACATCAAACACAGATAAAATGAAGAATGAGAACAGAGAGATGAAGCAATATAATAGTCTTATTCAAATGTGAGATTTGACCCAGTTCTCCTTGTGGTAGAGGAATTTGTTGAGGATTTCAAGATCACACAGGAAAAAAGAATATATGGAAACTGAGGACACGAGTGAATCTATAAGAGAGTACTTTAAAGTCTTTTGGCACGTAAAAATTAAAACAGTACATAATAAACAATAGAAAATAGGGCTATCACTAGAATGTTGTTTTTTGAGGTGCAAGGACCACACGTGTTTTGTTTCATTGCTATAGATGCACCCCTAAAGTACGTAGAAAGATGTCTGCCATGTAATGGTGCAAATGTTTATTTGTTTTTCTGATTAGCTGGATGAATTGCCGATTTAATTCCAATTCAATAGTTTGTGTTTGCAATGCTCATAAAGTACTTTTATTTTATTATGAATTATATTTTTATGTGCTCCTCCATCTAATTATTCAATCCTTTTTAAACTTATTTTTTTGGAGTCTCCCACTTCCTACAGGATCCTGGAACTGTAAAGTACCTTGGATATTTGTGGTGAGAAGAGATTTAGATCACCTCTGTTTGACCTGCTCCTTTCACTAGAGCTAACCATTTTTAACCACACCCTGTTACTCCAGGCACTGACAGGGTTAAATAGCCTTAGTTCAGCCTGTGACCATGTGTAACCAAGCACATCGTTTTAGTCCTTTTTCCACACGCTTCAGTTCTGCCTCTTCTCCATCTCTCTTGTTATTGCCTCCTCTTTTAATGTTGGCATTCCCTAGGTTCCAGTCCTGGTCGTGCTTCTCCTTTCCCTCTATTCTGTCTCCCTAAGTGATCTCATCCATTTCCTCAGCTTTAAATACCAAATATATGCTCCTGAATCCCAAATATGTATATCCAGCCTTGACCTACCTCTTAAGCTTCAAATCTGTATACTCAACCCCGCTACTTGACATGTTTATCTTAATGTTTTACAGGTAAAAACAAACAAAACATTTTAGTAAGTCTAACATGCAACTCCTGGTGTCCACTTCTCTTTTCGCCCCCTATTCATAGCCGGTTTTCTTCCCAATCTTCCCTAGGTCAGTATATCAGCCAACCAACTGCTGAAACCGTGCAGCCGTCTTGGGTTCTGGCCTACTTCCTTAGCCTCCAACTTCAATTCATGAGCAAGTGTAGTTATTTTTATCTCCAAACTATTGAATTGACTTGTCCTTAGTTCCACTCCTTACCTTCAGTTCTAAGCTAGCAATATCTCTCGTCGAGACTAAGGCGGGCAACACACTGCTTGCTCCCTGCTACCCATCTGGGTCTTTGAAGAACTCATTCCCACACAGCAGCAAGAAACTCAGAGTGTCAGCAGCGACTTACTGGCCAGTGGCAGTGACCCCATTATACTGGGCATACAATAAAAAGTTGTCACTGAGACCTGCCAGGCCCTGCATGAAGTGTCCCTTCTGTACTTACCCATATTCACTGATGACCTCTCCTACCTGTCTCCCAGTTCATGCTGTGCTCCACACATGATGTACTGGCTGCCTGACAAGTGCCGAAAAATGATGAGAGCTTTCCGGTTCTCAAGCCTTGGGAACTGCTACTTCCTGTGCCTGCAATGCTTTTCCCTCAGCTACTTTTTGTTTTGGTTTATTTCTGTTTTGACAAGTGACAAACGTATAACAAACATCTGTGTAGTTACCACTGAAAATTAATAAATGTTATCATTTTGCCATTTTCCCTCAGATTTTAACATTATAACAAGAGAACAACATAAAGTCCCTTTCGCTCTTCATTCCCCACCTTCCATTCCTTCCTTCTTATTCAGAACCACTAATGGCTGCTATTGGTTCCCTTCTCCGTATCCATTTCTCCCTTTCTCTGACAGTTCTGACTTAGTTAAGACAGTCACACCTCCTCCACTCCTCAGCACGCCCTCCTGCGCTTCAGCAAAAGCCATGGCCCAGTGGTGGCCAGGAGACCTGAAGGAACGTTTCCTGGGGGCAGGGCTTCATTTTCCCTCAGGGTACACAGTGGGAAACGGAGCATTTCTTGTGCCTCCAACCTGCTCTAACCTCCACTCCAGGGTTTGCCTTTAGAGAACCAGAGCGCGAGCAGAGGACTGGGCTATCTGAACTTCTGATCCAGTGCCAAGAATTAACGGTCTGGTTTGTTCCTCTTGGTTATCTGTCATCTTATCTTGCATTGCTGTCTGCTGGACTCAAAACAACAACAACCTCACAAATTGAAGGAAACAACTTCCTAATGTCTCCACCCCTCTCCTCCCAAAAACAAAAGAAAAAGGATTTTTCCTCTTATATCTAACCATTTTGGGGGTTAGCATATTACTTTACTGTACTTATGTATGTGTTTATTATACTCAGGGCTATGAAAAATTTACTTATACAAGGTTAAGTCTCCATTCAGATGCAAAGTGTTTAAAATAACAATTCAGAACTGACCCCTCTGTTTCTCCTCTCTGCTCGTAGGTTGCGGCATGTTTACTCTCCTGTCATCTGTCACGGCTGCTGTCAGTGGCCTTCTGGTGGGTTATGAACTTGGGATCATCTCCGGGGCTCTTCTTCAGATAAGAACCTTATTAGCCCTGACCTGCCATGAGCAGGAAATGGTTGTGAGCTCTCTGCTCATTGGGGCCTTACTTGCCTCTCTCACTGGAGGGATCCTAATTGACAGGTATGGAAGAAGGGCTGCAATCATCTTGTCGTCCTGCCTCCTTGGACTCGGAAGCCTGGTCTTGATACTCGGCTTATCCTACACAGTTTTTATAGTGGGACGCATTGCTATAGGGGTTTCCATTTCGCTCTCTTCAATCGCCACTTGTGTTTATATCGCAGAGATCGCCCCACAACACAGAAGAGGTCTTCTCGTGTCACTGAATGAGCTGATGATTGTCATTGGCATTCTTTTTGCCTACATTTCAAATTACGCATTTGCTACTGTTTCCCATGGCTGGAAGTACATGTTTGGCCTTGTTATTCCCTTGGGAGTTTTGCAAGCAATTGCAATGTACTTTCTTCCTCCAAGTCCCCGGTTTTTGGTGATGAAAGGACAGGAAGAAACTGCTAGCAAGGTTCTCGGAAGGTTGAGAGCCGTCTCAGATACAACAGATGAACTCACTGTGATAAAATCTTCCTTGAAAGATGAATATCAGTATAGTTTCTGGGATTTGTTTCGTTCGAAGGACAACATGAGGACCAGAATAATGATAGGCCTAACGTTGGTATTTTTTGTACAAATCACTGGCCAGCCAAATATATTATTCTATGCATCAACTGTTTTGAAATCTGTTGGCTTCCAAAGCAACGAGGCAGCTAGCCTCGCCTCCACGGGGGTTGGCGTCGTCAAAGTCATCAGCACGATTCCAGCCACTCTTCTCGTGGACCATGTCGGGAGCAAAACCTTCCTCTGTGTCGGCTCCTCTGTGATGGCAGCCTCGTTATTGACCATGGGCATTGTGAATCTCAACATCCGTGTGAATGTCACGAATATCTGCAGAAGCCATAGTCCTATTAACCAGTCCTTGGATGAGTCTGTGTTTTATGGGCCAAGAAACCTGTCAGCCAGCAATGACACTCTTATAAAGCCCTTTAAAGGGATCACTTCCCACAGCAGAAGCCCACTCATGCCCACAAGAAATGACATAGATAAGAGAGGGGAGATAACGTCGGCATCCTCACCAAATGCTGGACTAACCCAAACTGAATACCAGATAGTCACGGACCCTGCAGAAGTCCCACCTTTTTTGAAGTGGCTATCTTTAACCAGCTTGCTTGTTTATGTTGCTGCTTTTTCAGTTGGTCTAGGACCGAGTAAGTATTTTACTTTTTATTCTTTCCCTCTCACCCCTGATGAATGTTAAGTGTATCGCCTTTGACCAGTGAGATCATACCACTGCTACAGGATCTCTCGTATATAGAACAACTAGAAGCAAGACAGGGATGACATTGCCCCCATGATGTCTCCACTAATGCAGAAAGTATGCTTGCTTGGCTTATATCTGCTTTGTGAAACGTACGAGGCTAGTATTCACCGGAAGGGTAAGCTCACCATTATCTGTTGCATGAGGATACTTGATTTATTGATTGGGGATAAACCAGATCTTGAAAGACATTTATTGCCCAATAAAATATATTGTTTTATGAAAGCAAAGTATACCGGGATAACATTTTTTTAAAACATATTATTCCTGAGTTTCTTCATAGGTGAAAGAAAGCAATCAAGATTTTCTTAAAGACACAATAGTGGATGCATTTCAGTAATAATGAAGAACAAAGGGAATTTTGAGTTGGGAAAGAAGGTTCATTATTTCTTTAAGTATATTTTAGCACTAAATAATGTCCCAGGGCTCTTTACTCTGGTCTATTAAACAGGAAAATGGGCATCAAGTTACTCTTATTGAACATAGTACAAACAATTTACAGAGAGATAGATACAAGGCTATTTTACTTTATCTAGCCAGTCTACTCCAATGACAAAGTTTAAACACTTCTCTGGAGCAAACTCTCCAGTCTCCTAGAATAGGTTATTTCCTGTAGTTCTTTAGTTTTTTCAGCCCCACAACAAAAGTTTAAACCTCTCTGTAGGGAAGTTATAAAGGGTCTTTTGTGTGTCTCACTAGAAAATAAACTCCGTAAATCCTGGGTGGTCTCCCTGTACCACCCTCAACTCCCACTTCTCACCTCTCTATCTGTCTCTCTATCCCTCTCCTCTCTTTCTCTCTCTCTCTGTTTCTCCCTCTCTGTTTCTCTCTTACAGAGTTGGTATTAAAACTTTTGTTAACAAGGATCGATGACAAAACAAACTTGCTCAAATACAGGGACACGTTGGAGGTTAGGAATAGTAAGAAGACGTGGGCTGTGTTGAAGGAGAAGGAATCTCATGGACTAATGTAGGTTTCTGGTGCCAGGACCTGGACAATGTTTCTGGAAAGAAAGTTCACTTAGGACAGTGTTAGTGACCCACTGTTAACTCCTTAACTATTCTTTCAAGTGATACGTATGGAGTGATTAATTTTTTAATAACCAAGAACTATGTTAAACACTGGAGAAACTGTAATGAACAAGAGAGATAAGTCCCTGTCTTCAAGGAGATCACAGTTGAATGTACTGAGCTATATTCCCTGTGTCTGCTTCTTTCTGATCAGCAACCAGGAGATTTGGTTGCTCAGTCTTAGTTAATTAATAACTTGCACGTGGTTGATATGGTCTCTCCTTAAACTCTACTTTCTCATCTTTCAGTCTTCTCCCACTTCTAAGTGAGATCAGTCTGAAGATATTGATTTATTCAAATTCCAGAGCAAGAAGTGGGGTCTGGTTGACTCTACTCTTTGCTGTGCCAAGTCCTAGGTGGTTGTTGTAATCTAATCAGCAGTGACAAGATTGGGTCACATAGTCTAAAACATGGATGACCAGAAGCTGGCCCTACCTCTGGCACTGAGTTGACAGATTTCCCCATAAGGGACTGTGCATGGGCAGTTAGAGTAAATATTACACTACCATCAGCCTCAGATCTCTATGACTTTTTCCTGACCCCTGGCCCTGCTTTTTAAGATTTAACGATGATAAATGCCATTAATGAACAGTTTCCTGGAAACAAATTTCTACCATTATTTCAGGATTCAATTTCAAATGTGAGATACTTGTCTTAGTTGTTTCTGGCTGCTATACCAAATTACAAAAGGCTGGGTGGTTTAGACAACAAACATTTCTCACCGTCTGGAGGCTAGGAAGTCCAAGATCAAGGGGCTGGCAGATTCTTCTTCCTGGTTTGTAGATGGCCACTTTCTTTCTATGTCCTCACATGGTAGAAAGGGTGGCGGGGGATGGGGGGCAGGGGGAGTAGACTGAGGGAGGGAGAGGAAGTGGGAGGCAGAAAGAGAAAGAGAGAAAACTAACTAGTTATTTTGTGTATCTTCTTATAAGGCACTAATCCCATCATGGGGGCTTTACTCTAGTGACCTAATTACCCACCAAAGGCCATATCTCTAAACACCATCACACTGGGGATTAGGGTTTCAACATACAGGGGGACACAAACATGCAGTCCATATAATATTTATGTGTTTACTTGGATGTATAAAGCTAATAAAATCTGAGCAAGCATCTTATATTTTTATTTTCAGAAACTCTTCAAACTTTATCAGAAGGGCAAGATATGAGTGCTATCTTGTATCCAGGGACAGTTTAACCTTGTTTGTGAACTTTTCTATATTAATAAGTACAAGAAATTTTGCTCTTTTGATAAACTTCAGCTGGTAGTTATTGTTCCACTGATTTCCTTCACCGGGATCTTTTTTTTTCTTGTATATTCATCATAAAACTAAAAATTATCTCCTTTTTACATCAGTTTTCTTGATCCAATCTTATAAAGTATCAAGAATCAACTAAAAATCTAAGAAAAGTTTAGCAAAAAGAAAAGGATGCCTTCTTTGCTTTAATTCAGAGAGACTTTCAGGTTGGTGGAGATTATAATATGGCACATATTATAATATGAGAGACATTGATGCTCAGTTTCCAGAACTAACTTATTTATGGTAAGAGTCTTCCCAAGCTCATGCCACCTGCTTGGGTAACTTTGAAAAATGTAGCAAGTCCTCCATCATTAACATATCATTTGATACATTATAATATTAGAACAAGAGTTCCTCTTTTCAGGAAACACAATCTGATTTTGGAAAGAAATACTGGAAGCTGTTTATTTACCTTTTTGAATTACTTAAATAGTATTCTATATGAATTCTTTTAAAATATAATTTAAACTTTAGATTCAGCTAATATTTATTGGCACCTATATGTCAAATACTGTGTTAGGAAGTTTTTACAAACTTTAGAGGTCTTCATTTTACCTTCACAACAAAACTGTGAAGAAAGGGCATTCACCAAATTTTACAAATGATGACACCGTGTCTCAGAGAAGTTACGTGACTTGCTCAGAAAATAAAAACATTTCTTGTCTTCTGAAATTCACTGTTAATCCGTAGCCCAAGACAAGAATAGGCAGACCTGTGTTGGTCTTGATAATAAATGTGAATTATTTTTGGTTAAGTCCTCTCTGTAAAGATATATTAGAAGTAAGGATGAATGAAAATAGTGTGTCATTCTTTATCACATGAGGCTATTAAATGGGCCACCCTGCATTTTATTCAAGATAGAGACAGTCTTTCTTTTCCTAAAGCTCAACTAGAGAAGTAAGCGTGTACTTGTTGTAAGGCTAAGCTACAGGATAACAGAGGAGAAGGATAATGATCAGAATACAGGAATTTTTGATGTGCATGTACTTGAATAACTGAACTTGATTAAAATAACATTTAATGTGTATATTGGTTAGAATTCAAAGACCATATAATAAAAACCAAAATAACAGTTACTTAAGCAGATAGGAGTTTCTTTCTCTCTCATTTAACAACTGAAGCTGAGTAGGTCTAGATGCTGTGGAGGCTCCCAGGGTTAGGCACTTAAAGTCGGCAGTGTCCCCAGACCTCTGTAGCTTTAATATTTAATATAATATTTGGTACTTTAGTATTGGTTTCCAGTCTATCATGATGGCTATTTAAAAATATGAAAATGCATTTTAAAATTTCATCACCCTTTTCTGATAGCTAATTGTCCCTTGAGAATCGGTGAAATGCACAAAGTACACTCAGTTAAAGGCTGGGTATAGAAAGGCCTGAATAAGACGATGTGAGCAATTTTGTCAGGGAAGCAGAATCACTGTGTGTAATGTGGGATAAAGAATTGTTTATCGTAGGGATTAGACCTAACACAACTGTGGGAGATGTTGAGAAAGCAAAGTTCTGAAGTGGACCATTAGGGGAAAAGGAGAAAGTCACTAATCAGAGCCATGAAAGAAAGCTGGTGAAGAACTCTGTGAAAAGCTGTTGCCTCTGCATCTGGCTGCAGCCGGAAGTCTCTGCAAATCAGTAGAGCGGGCTGGTGGAAAAGCTGGACTCACAGCAGGAGAGCAAAGACAGTGGACCCTGCTAGGACAAAGTGGAATCCGAGAGAAGAAACTGGAGCCCATGTCTGTCTCTCACCACATCAACACAATGGAAAACTGGTATCCTTCTCTATAGAGCCCTGACACTGTGCCTGGCCTAGTAGTTGGAGAAGCTGGAGGAGGAGATCTGGGCACAACAGCTGTTCCCCCACACCAACAAAGAGAATCAGCAGATCATAACAATGTGCATAAGCTGCAGTGATGTCTAGGGCCCTGCATCAACCCGGCAAGCATAGGGCTGATGTATCACTTTGGCCTTTTAAGTCTCATGCAAACTTCTCTCCCTGCCAACTCTAACCCAGAATTACACAGGGAAGGGAATTCTGGGAAACGTAGTTCCAGCTTAGCAAAATTGACACAGTACAAAACTGCCAGAGTAATAAAACTCTGGACTAAGGAAGAATAGATGTGAATATGAAAAGAAATATTTGAGGTGAAGGGCCCTGTATTTTGTCTTCAATTGCTTTAATAGATATTTATTTCTTTTCATGAATACATTGTTAAAATATATGACTAGCTTTCATTCCATCTACTTCTGAAAAAGAGGTGAGGTCATTTATTAATGTCTTTTGGCTTTTGTTTCTTTAGCTGTAAAACCAAAAAACACCCTTTCACTAGTACATTATGAAAGCTCTCATATTTATTGTCTCAGGAACATAGTTATGTCCCTTGTGCTGATGACTCTCACCTATCTCCAGTTCTATCATCTCACATGACTTCCAGTTCCTTTTTTCCCAGCAAGTACTGGACTTTTCCACTTCGATGCTTCACTGTCAGCCAAACACAAGAAGGCCAATGCTGAATTCTTATTCCC